AGAAAGAAGTAGACTGGAAGAAAAACATTGTCGAAGTTTCATTGATTGTTGAGAAAGTGTCTTGTATATTAGGATATTAGGTGATAAAGCAATCACACTTAAATGAATTAATTTAATTAACACTACTAGACAAAAAATAGAAGACAAAATTAGGCTATTAATTGATCAACTGTTTGAAACTTTAGGAATAAAATTGCCAAATTTAAAAAAAAAATAATGATGGTGAAGGACAAACCAACACCTAAACCGTACGATTAGGAATGAACTCGTTAAAACCGTGAACAGCGATGGACCGATTTTATCCACAAAGAGGGACAAGCGTTGACTATCTGACAGCTGATCAAAGGGAAATAACAAGAAAAATACACATTTCTACAGTAAAACTAGGTAGCATCCCTTGTTTCTGTTGAAGACACACAATATTGTTAGACGCTCAGTACACAAACAATACAATAATTTATTTTCATTTAATCTATAATGTCTAACCACCCGTCACACCTTCTCCATCATGTGTTACACGTTTGATTTATATATAGTAAAAAATTATGTTTAATCATTACATTTTACTCTCTAGTCTTCTTGATTTCATAGTAACAATGAACAATTAGCGCTTAGTAAAGTACATGGACCGTTGTGGAATGGTTTTTTTTACCTTTTTAGATAGCTCCATTGAATAACTCAATAATGACATTGAATTACCTGGCCTATTGCATTTATGTGGCAACAAAAGACATTGACTTGACGATAACAATAACTTTACAGTAACCTGACAATTATAAAAATGTACTTCTCTTGTACCTGGCTGAGACAGTGTACTTGTGTCTTGTACCTGGCTGAGACTCTACTTGTGTCTTGTACCTGGCTGAGACAGAGTACTTGTGTCTTGTACCTAGCTGAGACTCTACTTGTGTCTTGTACCTGGCTGAGACTCTACTTGTGTCTTGTACCTGGCTGAGACAGAGTACTTGTGTCTTGTACCAGGCTGAGACAGAGTACTTGTGTCTTGTAACTGGCTGAAAATTTACTTGTGTCTTGTACCTGGCTGAGACAGAGTACTTGTGTCTTGTACCTGGCTGAGACAGAGTACTTGTGTCTTGTACCTGGCTGAGACAGAGTACTTGTGTCTTGTACCTAGCTGAGACTCTACTTGTGTCTTGTACCTGGCTGAGACAGAGTACTTGTGTCTTGTACCAGGCTGAGACAGAGTACTTGTGTCTTGTAACTGGCTGAGAATTTACTTGTGTCTTGTACCTGGCTGAGACAGAGTACTTTTGTCTTGTACCAGGCTGAGACAGAGTACTTGTGTCTTGTACCTGGCTGAGACTCTACTTGTGTCTTGTACCTGGCTGAGACAGAGTACTTGTGTCTTGTACCAGGCTGAGACAGAGTACTTGTGTCTTGTACCAGGCTGAGACAGAGTACTTGTGTCTTGTACCTGGCTGAGACTCTACTTGTGTCTTGTACCTAGCTGAGACAGAGTACTTGTGTCTTGTACCTGGCTGAGACAGAGTACTTGTGTCTTGTACCTGGCTGAGACAGAGTACTTGTGTCTTGTACCTGGCTGAGACTCTACTTGTGTCTTGTACCTGGCTGAGACAGAGTACTTGTGTCTTGTACCTGGCTGAGACTCTACTTGTGTCTTGTACCTGGCTGAGACAGAGTACTTGTGTCTTGTAGCAGGCTGAGACAGAGTACGTGTGTCTTGTACCTGGCTGAGACAGACTACTTGTGTCTTGTACCTGGCTGAGACAGAGTACTTGTGTCTTGTACCAGGCTGAGACAGAGTATTTGTGTCTTGTACCAGGCTGAGACAGAGTACTTGTGTCTTGTAACTGGCTGAGAATTTACTTGTGTCTTGTACCTGGCTGAGACAGAGTACTTTTGTCTTGTACCAGGCTGAGACAGAGTACTTGTGTCTTGTACCTGGCTGAGACTCTACTTGTGTCTTGTACCTGGCTGAGACAGAGTACTTGTGTCTTGTACCTGGCTGAGACAGAGTACTTGTGTATTGTACCTGACTGATACTCTACTTGTGTCATGTACCTGGCTGAGACTCTACTTGTGTCTTGTACCTGGCTGAGACAGAGTACTTGTCTTATACCTGGCTGAGACTCTACTTGTGTCTTGTACCTGGCTGAGACAGAGTACTTGTGTCTTGTACCTGGCTGAGACAGAGTACTTGTGTCTTGTACCTGACTTAGACTCTACTTGTGTCTTGTACCTGGCTGAGACAGAGTACTTGTCTTATACCTGGCTGAGACTCTACTTGTGTCTTGTACCTGGCTGAGACAGAGTACTTGTGTCTTGTACCTGGCTGAGACAGAGTACTTGTGTCTTGTACCTGACTTAGACTCTACTTGTGTCTTGTACCTGGCTGAGACAGAGTACTTGTGTCTTGTACCTGGCTGAGACAGCGGATGTCAATGAATGCAGACATTTCTGTCGGGTAACTGACTAGAGAGGACAAACAAAAGCGGCTGGTCATTGTGTTGACAACGATGGACTCGATCAAATGGAGGGTCATATACAAATCTTATTCTGTTTGTTTTTTTTACGTTTTAATGAGATTGAACATGTCTACATAAATGATAAAAAAATCTGTATGCATTTTCGTTGTAATATTTACTAAATACTTTTATTTATCTTACAACTTATTTTAGTTAATTTAGCGCATTTTATTTATTTTGGTCTGCTCCTTTCCACTACATGAGTAACTAAGGTCAAACGTGGGTGTGTTTTAATCACGCCTTTTATTTTGTTGGGTCTACAGTACAAATCCTGTTGAACCTTGTATTTTTTTTTTGTCTCTGAAATATTGATTCAGCTGAATCTTCACATGTCTACTTAATAATTCTATTTAATGCGTAACCGTGATAATAGTCTCATATTTTAAACTTTGTTTAGTTTAACAACCATACTTGCTAATACATTTAACAAATAAAATCATTTAAAATATTTAATGTGTACAGAATTGTGAATAATAAAAGGTTTTTAAGTTTTAATTGAAAAACTTTGTGTTATGCCAATTGAATGTTTAGCGTGTGAGTTGTTTTTCTTTTTTTTTTCCACACAGCATCAACGGCGTGGTCTAGCGGTAGATACATAGACTGCTAAGTAGAATGTTTGGAGTTCAAGTCGGTAGAACGTTCCTGGATTCACCCAGCTCTGATGGGTACATAACTCACGTTAGGGAAAGTAAATGCGGCTGACCACACTATCCACTCATATGCAGAGGTCACAGAAACACGTTAACTCTACTTCACTTTCCCTATAGACCGTCAGGGTCGAAAAGTGAACACAGACCGACGCCTTGTCGGACTTTCTTGTAGGTAGTTGGACTATGGTTTTCTGTAGGTAGTTGGACTATGGTTTTCTGTTGTTTGTCGTTACTCATCAATGCTTCCATTCTGTTAGTGAATGGCAGTACCGCATGTATCACTTCTAACTTGTGGGTAAAAGGGGGTTTTGTTCTCACGGCCTACACAACCTTTAGTTTATCGGGTGGGTTGTCTTGTGAAGGCAAAAGGTGGGAGTCGACAGTCTATTTATCCCCACTTTTACAGTTTAACTATTAGAGTCGATTCCTTTGTATCATTCACCTTTTTCATGTGTTTGGTCAATATAATTTGACAAAGGTTTTATGAATCAGTACAGATCTCCTGTTAGGTTTACTAAGTGATCCCGTTTTTTAAACAACACTATACTATTTTTCTCTTGATGACCGGAGGCAGCCATTTTCTAATGCCCGTGTAACCTTTTTTGTCAGTGTGGAAAGTACCGAACTTTTTCCCGATGCTCTCATATGGAGATGTATGTATCTTAAGATCTTATGGTGACGTAAATTGCTTTAATTTCACCATAGTAATAATGACCTTTTATCTACAAAATAGGCACCCCGACCGTGACAGAGAAGTGTGAAAAAAACTCTCTTCCATTAACGAAACATGTGATGTGTACAACTAATTACTGTACAACATTATTACACAACTCATGACACAATTGTTAATAAAGAAATAAAAACGTTTTACTCAAGGAAAGATAAACTATAAAATAATACTGCATTTTTTTAAAGCAAGAGTTGTTCTTCTGTAATACCGTTTCTTTGGATACCGTATTCTAACTTTGAATAGTGATGTTTATTTGTGTTTCAGCTAATGTTATGTAAGAATTTAAAAAAAAACAACCTTGTACACTATTTACTTTTGTAGTTACCTACAACAATAGGTTGTTTATAATGAAATGGGAGACGTCTTATTATTTAAATACATCCTAAAGTTTACCTAGCATGCAAATGAATATAGTTCTCCATGTATATATATATATATATATATATATATATATATATATATATATATATATATATATATATATATATATATATATATATGTATATGTTGATTGTCCTTTATTGAGATTTGTCAATCGACATGTTGTATTGATGGATACATTTGAAAGTTGAACTTTAATGTATCACGATACATTCGTCCTTTAACCACTGATTGTGATGGATACGATTGATACAATTATACGATGATTGTACTGTGGATCTAAGTTGGGCACAATGATTAACATTAAACGCACTTAAAACAGTTGTATACGCTTTTAAACCATGCCAAACTTTTAATCCATTACAATTTAAAATTAAGTTGCAATTTTCACACTTCTAGTTTAAACATTTAATTAATGTGAAAAATAAGATAGTCAAACACTGTGTAAAGAAATAAATTCAGTTCCAACTTTGAAATGTATGTTTAATCGAACACTTGAAATCTGTAACATAGGCCCTACTTTTTTTTAAATATTTAAGAATGAAAATTATAATACGAATAATATTTGTAAAGATGAGTTCAAATTGAAATTAGTGTTGTAACGAAAAATTAAGAAAATTAAAACAAAACTCCTTATCAGTCAATGAAAGCGCATGATAAAAAACTTGCGATGCAGAATATGTAACAGTAGAGTCTATGACTTCCAATGTTGATACTCAGGGCATACACACATCAGACAGTTGAGCTGTACTCTGCTCGATGCCTCTCTGTAGAGATCACTGCTTCAGTGTAGAGTTTCATTGTCTCGTACACAAATATATACTGTTGCTGTAGGTAAACAAAGAACATATATATCATAGGCTTTTTTTGTATGTGTTGCATAAATTAGAAAAAAAAAATCGAAAACATTTGCAAAGTGTAGATTGGCACACATTGAATGTACACAAGTACTTGGACAACGTAAGATAAGGAAAATAATTGGTTAGACTTACAAGTGTAGGAATGGCGTGCGGTCTGATGGATTTGACTTTACCAACAACAACAGGAACGGTCAAATAGTTCTCTTGGTCCAGTCTGTCCATCAGAGTTGTCACAACATAGGCCAGTCCACTCAGTTCGGCACCGTTTCTTGGAAAAAACAATTAAAAATACAAACATAAGGTTAAAGTTCAAAGGTCTGAGTTAAGTTTGTTAACTTCAGATGGTCGTCTATAAATAATACTGCAGTTCTCCAGTTATATCTGCAAATATCTAATTATCTACAGTAGTTACAAATAGTATGGTTAAGTAAGTTTTGCACTTTACTTAATTTCTATTTGACTCGTAGATGTAAACTTTTACGTTGGTGTTGTTGTAAAAAGAATGGCGATGGATGGAGGGGGGGGGGACTACACCATGTATCACGTATCCTAGATACAACACTAAGTAGGCTTAAGTTCTAAGATCCATATGGAAAAGGGAGTATATTTCATAACTTTTTTTACACTGGTATATGAATGTGGGGCTAAACTATCCCCATCCGCCTTTACTTTCCCCAACACCAGTCATGTACCCATCAAGCCTGGATAGAGTCAGGAATGTCCGGAAACACCAGTCATGTACCCATCAAGCCTGGATAGAGTCAGGAATGTCCGGAAACACCAGTCATGTACCCATCAAGCCTGGATAGAGTCAGGAATGTCCGGAAACACCAGTCATGTACCCATCAAGACTGGATAGAGTCAGGAATGTCCGGAAACACCAGTCATGTACCCATCAAGCCTGGATAGAGTCAGGAATGTCCGGAAACACCAGTCATGTACCCATCAAGCCTGGATAGAGTCAGGAATGTCCGGAAACACCAGTCATGTACCCATCAAGCCTGGATAGAGTCAGAAATGTCCGGAAACACCAGTCATGTACCCATCAAGCCTGGATAGAGTCAGGAATGTCCGGAAACACCAGTCATGTACCCATCAAGCCTGGATAGAGTCAGGAATGTCCGGAAACACCAGTCATGTACCCATCAAGCCTGGATAGAGTCAGGAATGTCCGGAAACACCAGTCATGTACCCATCAAGCCTGGATAGAGTCAGGAATGTCCGGAAACACCAGTCATGTACCCATCAAGTCTGGATAGAGTCAGGAATGTCCGGAAACACCAGTCATGTACCCATCAAGCCTGGATAGAGTCAGGAATGTCCGGACCGTTCGCTCTGCCATACCACCACGACGTTTCAATTAAAGATCTATCGGTCTATATACTGCGTTGGTGACTTTAATGGAACTGTCTATGTCGGGGGGTTGAAGGTCACGATGCTATCTGATGTTATAGATTTAGTCTAGCTAGTGGTGGATGGGGGTAAGTTAAAGCTTATATTCAATATCAAAGACAACACACATAAAAACAAGCATGCATGTACAATTACGCATATGGTTGCTATAAATAAATAAAACGCAACACCAACACACTTGCCTGCATGTGTAAACTACTGACTTATCCTGAGTTCTCAACGATCGCGCGTATTGAACAAACGGTAAGAGATTTTTTGGTTCGATATGACGCTCTGTAAACGTGAGATGAGTCACTTCTTGTGTTTCTTTCCCCTGAGAGAAAGAAAAAAATATGTTTTTTTTTAAAGTAACTTCCAGCTACAGTGTCCTTTCTTACACTGTAAAACATATTGGTGAAAAATTCAAAGCAGTATTTTAATACTAGTATACTTAAAAATCCCGAAACACTAACATAAACACTATGTAGACATTTTAATATACACCAACATTTATATTTTATATAAACACACATCTATGCATATATATATATATATATATATATATATATATATATATATATATATATATATATATATATATATATATATATATATATATATATATCTGTATATGAATATATATGTATAACGCATGTTTTAATAGTTACATATATATATATATATATATATATATATATATATATATATATATATATATATATATATATATATATATATATATATATATATATATATGTATGTATGTATTTATGTGGAACATTTTAATTGCATTTTTCGCATTTCTATGATCAAATGCGTTCGCTATATAGTTCTCAAACAACATGTAAGCGTGATGTTAGCAGTGTATTGTGCAACAGTACCTTAACGGTAAGCTTCATTTCTGTCCACGTTGGTGCTGCAGTTACTGACTCGACATTGACAGCTATGTTCCCACATTGTAACGACTGGCCTTGTTCTTCAGGTAAGTAGATAGCTAAAGACTTGAGAAAAAACATGTTTTTTTTTTGTTAACTTTATGTCAACATTTACACGCTGAAGGTTGGGGTGCTTTAGATTTTTGGTATAACAATCTATGTATTAGGCCGTCAAGAAACCACTCGCTGCAGAAGTGACAACATCAGATTTTTCCCGTCCAACTCATCAAGTCAACATTCCGTCTCGGCTTCTTCAGTTACTTGTAAACCTTTCACCATATTTTATGCTTGGTTGACTTGAGTCGGGTACCTATATACAGCTCGATATATTTTTAAACATCTGAACCAAGCTCTTACCCCTGGTCACAAGCCGAATTCGACATAGCACGCTTCTATTATTAGCTTCTATTATTAGCTTCTATTATTAGCTTCTAATATTCTCTTCTTTAGCTTCTATTATTAGCTTCTATTATTAGCTTCTATTATTAGCTACTATTATTAGCTTCTATTTTTAGCTTATATTAATAGCTTCTATTTTTAGCTTCTATTATTAGCTTCTATTATTAGTTTCTAATATTAGCTTCTATTATTTGCTTCTATTATTAACTTCTATTAATAGCTTCTATTATTAGCTTTTATTACTAGCTTCTCTTATTGGCTTCTATTATTTGCTTCTATTATTAGCTTCTATTATTAGCTTCTATTATTAATGTCTAACCTGGCATAAAACACTACACTACAGCACTCAATTAGGAAAGCGGTTAAATGGTAGAGCTGTTAACTGAATACTCGAGCCTTGAGTTCGGATCCCTGGTTTGAGTCCACTCAGCTTTTAATGGGTACCTGTAACACATATGGTTACCAGCCAAAGGGGGATAAAACTATGAAGTTTTTATTCATTGGGTTGCGGCCCCTGTGGGACTGCAACTGAACTGTTGACGTTTTTTTATGCTTTTGTGAGCGAAATTACCTGTGTTCCATGTCATGTGACATGTGCCTAGTCGTGTCGCACACGCAAGGCTGCTGTCTGTGGACCAAGATGTAGACCTAATGAAGGTAGTGTAGATATATAAATTATGTTTGTTTAAATACTTATGTATTCCTGCTAGTGCTGCATGTGCACACTAGTTAGGGTGATGTATTAAATTAAGTATTTATTTTGTAGTACTACTTATTGGTACTTGTTGGCAGTACTGTGTACTGGCCGAAAACATAATTTATTGTACCCGTGTATATTGTAGCTTACACGTGGTGTTGTCCTGAATGTAACTTTTTTATTTTACATTTGTTTTAGGGCTACAGTTTCAGTTTCTATTTTGATCTTTTGATCTTTTGATCTTTTGGTCTTTTGGATTGTTTGGATCTTTTGGTCTACCTTGGCTAGTTCGTTTTGTGTTGCATCGCCGTCATGGCTCGATGCTATAAATAAACGAGTACTGGACAACAACTGTCGGTGTCGGTGTATACTTAATCCCAGGGTCAGCCCGTCTTAAACCACAACACCTCAGTGGGTAAAAGCATCCCCACTGAGTGAGGGTTACATTTGGCGCCCAACGTGGGGCTTGACCTTGGGAGGTAGGATGGAAAGCACCAAGCCGACGTTCGAGAAGTTGTCGCAAGAGCTGGCCATGTTGAGGGCTAAGATGGCTGATCTACAACACGCAAGTGCGCAGCGGCCCGTGACGGTGAAGGTGTGTGCTCCGGTACACAGCGATGAGGAGGAGTTCACCGACTTTCTACCCACGGGCGGGGTTGCAGGGGAAGCTAGCCCGAAGATGGAGTTCGTCCTGAAAGCTGTTAAAAGGCTGGACGGGACAACTGAGTCTCCAGTCGTAGCCACGGCAGCAGCTAACAGGACTATCCAGGTAGACTCACTAACGGCAGCTGTTCGCCAAGAGACGAAACCGCTGATACTCACGTTGGAACAACTTGACCGTCTGGCGGAGAAGGTGGCAGCAGCTATCCTAGCCCGGAAACAACGGCCTTACAGAGGAGCTTGTTACGGGTGCGGGTCCAGGAAGCACTTCGTCCGCGACTGTCCGAGGAAAGCAGCTAGGCAACGGAGTCAGCAGCAGGGGAAATGCCAGTCTATCAGCGTCGGGGAGCGGATGCTGATGCGTGTTCTGCCAAGCTCCCAGCCCAAGTTTACGCCACCGAGATCAGCACAGTGTCGAGCAACCACAGCTCAGGTTACCTCGCCTAGCGGCTGGAGGTACGGCTGTCGGGTGTTCCGCCGTGGAGGAGGGTTGCAGCCGGAGGGTGCGCGTGAGAAGGGTAGACAGCCACACCATGAATGTCAGTCTCAGCGCGAGCAAGATCGTCGCTTGGGAGACAGACATGACACAAGCAGAGGTCGGAGACGCCGCCGGAGGAGAGGCCGACGACGTGGTGGACGCCGCCGTGGTTGGCAGCGACCCGACTATACAATGTCGAGTGCTGAACCCACTGTGGCGAAGGGGGAGCGACGGAGAGAGGTCATACCAACCAGTGAGGCAGATGAAGGTGAGGAACTGACAATCAAGGTAGTGGTTCCAACTAGACTTCGGCCGGAGGCAACGCCTTTCGTGCCAGAGGTGGTCGCCCGGGACGGACAAGACAAGGTGATGGTCAGGCCAGCCCCACATCTGGGTGAGGTGAGTGCGAGGGACGAGGCATCGGACGAGGATGACTCTTGGATCAACCCAGAACCACCAGCGGAGCTGCGGAGGTCAACCCGTCAACGACGACCCGTCGAGCGACTCAACCTGGCGCATCAAGTGGTGACCAGTACCTGCACTGGAGCCTCTACCGGTTTGCCGGGAATAATCTATTTAAGTTGAAAGGACTTAATGTCTGTGTACTAGTGTACTGAACTTTTTTTTTTTAAAGTACTATTATGTATGAGTGTAAATGTAAATGTAAATGTGAATTCCATTGTACATTTATTTGTGAGGGGGGCTGTGTAACACATATGGTTACCAGCCAAAGGGGGATAAAACTATGAAGTTTTTATTCATTGGGTTGCGGCCCCTGTGGGACTGCAACTGAACTGTTGACGTTTTTTTATGCTTTTGTGAGCGAAATTACCTGTGTTCCATGTCATGTGACATGTGCCTAGTCGTGTCGCACACGCAAGGCTGCTGTCTGTGGACCAAGATGTAGACCTAATGAAGGTAGTGTAGATATATAAATTATGTTTGTTTAAATACTTATGTATTCCTGCTAGTGCTGCATGTGCACACTAGTTAGGGTGATGTATTAAATTAAGTATTTATTTTGTAGTACTACTTATTGGTACTTGTTGGCAGTACTGTGTACTGGCCGAAAACATAATTTATTGTACCCGTGTATATTGTAGCTTACACGTGGTGTTGTCCTGAATGTAACTTTTTTATTTTACATTTGTTTTAGGGCTACAGTTTCAGTTTCTATTTTGATCTTTTGATCTTTTGATCTTTTGGTCTTTTGGATTGTTTGGATCTTTTGGTCTACCTTGGCTAGTTCGTTTTGTGTTGCATCGCCGTCATGGCTCGATGCTATAAATAAACGAGTACTGGACAACAACTGTCGGTGTCGGTGTATACTTAATCCCAGGGTCAGCCCGTCTTAAACCACAACACCTCAGTGGGTAAAAGCATCCCCACTGAGTGAGGGTTACAGTACCTGTCTCACGTTAAGGAATTTAAAGGCGGTTTGGCATAGTAATAACCACATTATCGCGTCATACTGCAACTGGTCTACTCTAATTCTCTTGTTCCATGGACTGTAAGATTTTTTTTAAAATTACGTTTACTACAACACATAAACACACACACACACCTACCTTGTCCTTTTCATAGGATTTAAAAGCAACAATCAAGGAGACGTTATACTGTGTGACCAGTCTCCAGAAATCATTGACCGTAGTGGGCATGGGCAGCTGGGTCAGAAACTGATTGGTCTGGGTGTACAGGCTCTGGTTTTAGATGGGATACAAATCAATAATAGCCGAATAATCAAGTATAAATCATTGTTAGCCCAATAATCAAGAACAAATCATTAATAGCCCAATAATCAAGTACAAGTCAATCTTGTCACAACCATGAACACTTTTCCGGTTGCATAATTTATAATGTGTTTCTACAATCGTATATCGTATATTGCTAAATTTTTATTTTCTTTCTTTAAATAAAAATTAGTTTGTACATTTATAACATCCACTATATTATTGTCAACAAAAGTTCGCATCGTTAAGTACTCGATATATCGCTAAACATACTTATCATATAGCCTCAGAAATATTGCGAACAGAGAGAGAGAGAGAAGTGCGCAATGGTCTTTTATATATTAGGATTGTATACAATTAAAAACGTTTAAAAACTAAGCGAAAAAAACAGAGTCTTACAGGTAATGTGACAGCATTGATATAGTCCTCTTCTCCGGGGGAATCCACTTGTAAAAGAGGTTGATACTTTTTGTCTAAACAATACATAGATTAGTTAATTGATCAGAAATAATTTATAGTATAAGCCGCTTGTGTATTTTCGCTACTTCCGTTCGTCAGTCAACAGTATAGCTACTTTGTCTTCGTTTCTCAAGCTTCATTTCAACTCACGACAGTACGAACATTATTAATGGAATACACGGCCGTTTGTTTGATTAAGCAATTTAATAAAGCGTTTGCGGTTATATTTTATTTTGTGTTTGCATTTTTATTTGCGTTTGCGTTTGTATTTGCGTGTTGCGTTTGCATTAGCGTTTGTGTTTGTGTTTAAGTGATGCGTTTGCCATAGCGTTTGCGTTTTGTTTTGTTTTGTGTTTATGCTTGTGTTTATATGTGCGTTTCCGTTTGCGTTTGCGTTTGTGTATGTGTGTGCATGTGTATGTGTATGTGCATGTGCACGTGCACGTGCACGTGTACGTGAATGTGTATGTGCACGTGAACGTGCATGTGCATGTGCATGTGCTTGTGCTTGTGCATGTGCATTTGCATTTGCATCTGCATTTGCGTTTGTCTTTGTGTTTGTGTTTGTGTTACGGTTATGTTTGCGTTTGCGCTTGAGTTTGCGCTTGTGTTTGCGTTTGCGTTTACGTCGATTCTATATTTACACTGACCAAGTAGAATGTCGATTCTATATTTTCATTTATTAGGTAGAATGTCGATTCTATATTTACACTAACTAGGTAGAATGTCGATTCTTTATTTACATTTACCATGTAGAATATCGATTCTATATTTACTCTTACCAAGTAGAATGGTGTTTCTATATTTACACTTACTATGTAGAATGTTTAATCTGTCGTTACGCTGAGTGATAGAATGTTGAGCCTATTTTTACACTTAACTAGTAGAATGTTGAATCTGTCTTTACACTTAGTAGTAAAATATTATATCTATTTTCACACTTACTATCGTTAATGTCGTTGCACACTTACCTGGTGCAATGTCGAATGTTGTGTTACACCTCTTACATACTTAGATTCTAGATTGGTGAATCCATCTTACTCATGTTCCACACTTACCTGATAGAATTTCTGAATCTATCTTTACTGTTGGTATACACTTACCTGGTATAATGAGGAATCTATTTTTACTATTGGTATTCACTTACCTGGTATAATGAAGAATCTATTTTTACTTTTTGGATCTTGGGTAACGTCCCCTACACCACCAGTAAGTTGTGTCTCAAAACTAAACAGATTCTGAAATAATGGGTATTGAACACCAATTTAATAGTGATTTACTTGAATAAAAATCATGTTGTAAAAGCACATGTTTAACAGTGGTTAATCTAATATATAAAGCTCAGTTCTGTATGTAATGCATTTGTATGTCGTTGGAATTGTACGAATTTAAGTGTTAGAAAATTATCGTGCGCATTTGTCTAAATTTATAAGCTAAAAAATCACTATTGAAAGTGTTGGGAAATAATTTTCATTTTTCAAATTATAGTAATAATTGTCGGCATGTTCATTAAACACAAGTTTTAAAAAAAATATCATCTTTTACAAAAATTCTAATTATGTCTTTATTTAGTCCTATAGCACTTCCTTCCCTTTGATAAATTAGGAAAAACACAATTACTTCCCTTTATAAAACCATTGCATTCCGTGAAAATAATTTACTTTTTAATTACTTTGTTTTGGTGTTGGGAAAAAAAAATAATTACATAATTAGCGGGGATTGATCAAGTGCAAATGTTGTAGGTATTTTACGGATAAGCTTGGAGTATTAAAATTGTTTATTAAATTGAAACAGGCGCGTTCGTTTAAGTGAGTGCAAAAGACTGTGAATAAGTTGGGGTACTATAGTCGTTCATTAAGCTAAAACAGGTGATTCCGCCCCGGGCGTTTATGTTCGCGTTAGTGTTTTCTTTGTGTTTAGGTGGGTTTGCGTTAGTGGTTGCGTTTTAATTTGGTTCGTTTTTGTTCTTTCTTTTTTCCTTTTTGTTTGTGTTTTTTTTGTTTGGGTTTGTATTTGTGTTTTTGGTTGGTTTTGCGTTTGGATTTGGTTTGTTTTCGTTTGCTTTTTTCGTTGATTTTTTTTTGTTGGTATTGGTGTTTGTGGTTGGGTTTGTTGTTAGGTTTTTGTTTTCGTTTGCTTTTTTGTTTGTTTTTTCTTTGTGTTTGTATTGGTGTTTGTGGGTGTGGTTGTGTTTGTTGTTAAGTTTTTGTTTTCGTTTGTATTTGTAATTGTGTTAGCGTTATGTTTGCGTTTTGTTGTTTTGGTTTTGGTTGGTTGTGGTTTGGGTGGGCAATGCCGGGTTTATGATGATTACTAAACACACAGGTAATGGTCTTTAACAGAAAGGTTTTTCACAGAAGCCAGAGCAGGGCCTGGCCGGGACGGCTAGTGTTTTACTAAATCTTATTAAGGTTAGGTTGGCTGACCCAAGCACCTAAACCGAGGCTAATGAGGCTGCAACCAATGTAGATGAGGAAATGGACTCTATTAAATGATATGACTACAAACTATGCTTTTTTTACTTATGTTTCGGCAACCTAATCTGGTACAAAAGATAATGCATAGTTTTCCTTTGAGATATTCCGGCACACTATACTAGTTGTATCTGATAGCAGAAAACATAATTTATTAAACATATTATATAGTTGTAAGGAACCATACCCCCGCATAATAAGAGCTGCCGAGTGTCGAAAAAAAATATTATTCATTGAACATTGATGTCTTCATCAAAATATTTTTATTTACAATCACAATACGAAGAAACAAAGCCACTGAATACAAACTTACATTGAATTCATTTTCAAAATTATTTTTCCCGTTGACAACGTTCCCCATGAGATGTACTTTGAGAAAGATGGCGCTGATGTGTGTGTAGCTGCCTGTACAGGCGATGCCAGCCTGCGCGGCGTGGTGCAGATACATGTACTGCTCCTGAAAATACATGTTTACATAATTTATTAGTCACTCTTTATCTCTCTCCATTAGCTCTTCCTCTCTCCCTTTCTATGTGGCCTGGTGCAGGAACATGTACTGCGCCTGAAAAACAAATGCAAGTAACTAGTCGTCTCTCTCTCTCTCTCTCTCTCTCTCTCTCTCTCTCTCTCTCTGTCTCTCTCTCTCTCCCTCTCTCTTTCTCTCTGAGGCCTGGTCAAGGAGCATGTTCTGCTCCTGGAAGACACATGTTTCGTTATTTAACTAGTCTCTCTCTCTTCCTCCCTCTATCCCTCCCTCTCTCATTCTCTTCCTCCCTCTCCTTCTCTCTCTTTCTCTCGTCCACTCTCTCCTGGTTTGCCCCACTTAGGTTTGGTGTCATTTAGAGCGTACTCAAGTGGTCTGCACCCTTGGAAGCTTATTCTTTAAAAAATTAAATTTTTCCTGCTTTTCCATCTTGTTTCAATATTTCCCGTCTTTGTCTTTGATTCAATAGTTGTGGCTACTACTAATCCTACTCTTGAATTGTTAAAAGATAAAGGCGATGTACAATGTAACCTCTACATACGAGTTTAATGTCAACATTTTTTTTTGTTCACTCGATAACTCTATTCTAAAACATCTCGCGTGAGAGTTATTTTGAAAACAAAATATCAATTTCTTTTTTTTTCTTATCAATTACAATATTAGTGTAATTTAATATTGTTTTAGAATTTTTCAGAATCTAATATCAAGTTAAAAATTCGCCATAAAATAATCTAAATATTATGTTTCATTTAGCAAATAAATTTGCTACGTTTTTGTTTTAAACATTTTATGAAGGAAATAATTTTAATCTTTCGTTGAAGGAAAAAATCTTTGCAATTTGTTAGAATATTTCATTTAATGTTTCGTTGTTTTTATTTTATTTTTTTTTTTTTATACTAAAGAGCTAGTCAGAAAACATTGCAAGTGTAAAAATGTCATTTCTTGTAACATGTTAATAAATAAAGAATGTTTTTTTTTTAATTATGATTAGAAACATTTATGTTGTATAGTTAGTTAAACCAAGAATAGTTTAAAGTTAGAGTTGTAGATATCAAACTCACATAGGTTTGAACCGTGTTGGGCATGTCTTGTCGGAGTCTAGACACCGTGTCGACAAAGTCCACGGCTTGGTTCAGCTTGGCTTGACGGATCAAATCGTGTAGAGCTATAAACACGGAGCTTCTCGTTGTGTCCATCCTGTTAGATACACACGGGAAATAATGTGTCAAATGTGGTGCCTATATACAATGGCAGAAGTAGTTGATAAAGTACAGACTCGCTTCTGTTATCTCTGTATTAAATGCTATATATCTATATATAATACTTACTCGAGAAAATGTATATCAAATATAACCACCATATTAACTACTTTACTAACAAAAAAATAAATTAAATGGTATATATATATATATATATATATATATATATATATATATATATATATATATATATATATATAGTAACAGTTAATACATGTTGTAAAATATAATGTCGTTTTTATGTCTTTCCAAGCTTACCCAGAATGCACCAGTGTGACAGTTTCCAGAGTGTTGAAAAAGACCTTATGTTCAAAGTCAACCATACTCCACATACACGGGTCAGACCCGTCTTCCGGCCAGGCCGTGTACTGGAAGTGGGTCAACTGACGTGGCGGGTTGTCGTCCTTGTCATTGGGAAGACAGAAAGAAACAAGCATTATATTTATAGATGGCAGAAAATTCGATAAAACCTAACACATCCTATGCTAATGTGAGTTTTTGTAATATCCTTTCCTTCATTCGATATGGTGTGTAAATATAATTGTTTTGTTTTTGTATGACTTTGTTCTAGTACTTTTAATTATGTTGCTGTTTACTGTAAATATAAATTAGAAGCGAGAATTCGGCAAACAGTCATCTCGTGTATGCTTGTTGTCACTAAGTAAATTGATATGAGACAGCATGGTCGGGCGTCTCAAGTTCGGATCCCGGGTTCGAATCTGTGTCACGCCCCATAGCCCACTAAGCTTTGATAGGTTCCTGACTCACATCAGAGAGCAAACTCAGCTGGTCATTTCACTAACCACACTATCTTCATATACCGTGGTCATGGAAATGGGTAAGCTCTACTTCATCCGGACTAGTGACTGTCAGATACATAACAGTATGCAATTTTACTTATAAATAATACATTTAATACAATTTTAAAGTTCATACAAAAATAAATATAGTAGTTTTTTTTTCTTCAAAGGCTTCGCAAAATATCTATCTATATCTTACTTTGTCAATGCGCACAAACGTAATATTTGTTATTTCTTGTATTTTAGTGCTCTCTCACTCGACCTTGAAATTATAGTTTAAATTTTATACTGTTTTAAAAATATAAACTTTTGAATTCAAATAAAATTTACTTTTGTAATTTCCAAAGTCCGAATAGTATAATCTAAAAAAACTTCTGTTTTCACCGTCTTCACTCTATAGCAATAAATTATTTGATCATTCATTGACCAGTAGTTGTCTTCATTCTGAAAAAAATGACGTTTTGATAAAGTATTTTCGAACAAAAAATTATAAACAAAACCGCTGTTATTAACATATTTTCTATACCAATCTTACACGTTTCAAAACACATTTTACGGTGGGAAAATCCGAAATATTATCAACAAGCCGTCTCGGCCAGGCCCTGCTCTAGCCTCTGTGAGAAACCTATCTGTAAAGGACCATGACATGTTTTTTTTTTTTGTAATCAGCATATATCCGGCATTGCCCACACTAACCACAACCAACCAAAACCAAAACACACAAAAAAAGAACCGCGAACATAACACAAACAACCACAACCCAATTAAAATGAGAACTAAAGGACAAAATGCAAATACATTTCAGACACAATTTTAGAAATTTTATAAACGTTGATACACTTGTTTTAAATTTTATGTAATGTTAATAATTGAAAATTATTTTTCTAAGTATATAAAATGAAAACTGTTTTTAAAGACTTTCAGTAGTAATTTTTATCTCATAAATTTAGACCATAAGCACTATAATAATCTATACTTAAATCCATCGAAGTGTCCACGACAAACATTTTACAAACAGTCAGAAGTGAACTTTATATATTCGATTTAATGTGATAATGGAGCAGTACTCTGATGTTTGTGTGTTTTGGCAACCTACATCGTTTTTGCCTGTGCTGACCATGGCGACTTTTGCAACTTGTTTGTCCCACAGCAGATTGAGAAAGAGAACCTCAGTCGCAGCAACCGGAGCTACGAGAAGATGTGAAGAAAATATGATTAGAAAGGATTATAAAAACACAGAGGAAATTTTGTAGCTACAAAAGGAACTTCATAAACATGTTCAATGATTGGCACTAAATAAGCTATTCAAAACATGGTGAAAAAATTATTACTAAAGACGAACCTATACAAAGTGTAACAATACTCTTTACAAACTTCTATTAAAAACTTATGAATAAATGTTATTTACTTAAGCAAATATTCGTTGCTACTTCATCAAGTTTTAGCAAATTTCAATACTGATTTTAGTAATATTTAAAGTACTTTTTAACTATGTAATGTCTAATTAGATTGGAAATTAGATACTCTTACGTTGTAATTGTAATTAATTTTTAAAAATAATTTTGTAAATTGAAAACAATTTAAATAGTTTTTATTACACTAAAACCATCATAAAAAAAGTTAAATTAATTTCAGTACCTTAGGTTCAACTTCAATCAATGATAAAAATGTGTATACTAATTACAAAGTCAGTAATCCTAGCTAGACTTAACAATAACACATTTTACTAGAGAATATGTAAAACGTTAACAAGTTACCTTGTGATACTATTATCTCTTCTTTAGCCAACTTAAAGAAATAGAATAATTCAACATGGTTAGTCAAAATTAGAAATATTCAGTTTTTTTATATTCATGTTTTAACCCAAAATCTAGTTTATTAATATATCCAAAGTAACAAATTGAGTATTATTGATGTATAAACGTATTAAAATATGAATATGCAAAATATGTATTAGCCGAAATGAATAAGATAAAAACAGCATGTGTCATGTATAGGAAGAGAGAGTTAAGTTATTGATTTTACATTGTGTTGCCGGTATGAGTTAGCGTCTTGTTGTAACAATAATTGAAAACCAAGTTATAAACATCTTGAGATATTTGTAGAACATACACAATAAAATTTACTTCACAAAATTTACCGGGGTCATTTTTGTAAAAAGTAATTCCATATAAAATATGGATAATAAACGTATTGATTTTAAAAGTATATGCCAGCAAGTAAATGTACTAACAAAAATCACTTTCATTTTGTGTAGTCAAACATTTTTTGATGAAAGATTATTTTATAAAGGACTATTTCTTTATCTAGACAAACACATTTTCGTTTAATTTCTTTTTAAGTACTTTAAAAGCCTTATTTTACAAAAGTGTCTACTTCATTTTTTTACTGTTTAGTAATTAGAAATTAAAATTGCAAAGATAAATGTAAAACTTAAAGTTGTTGAGACGAATATCTTTTTTTATTTTTATATATCGTGTATTTATTAGAGGTTTTAGTTTAAGATCAGATAATTAGCGAGCGCTTTTTTCTCTAGACGACATAACTGTCTCATTAACGTCGGTCACTAAGTCTCAGGTGTGTAAACTCACGATTACATCACACCAGTCTCTCCCCCCCCCCCCCCACCCCTCTCCCAAGTGGTTATAGCTAACTTCGATACCGACTCTAGGAATATTTCAAATATATTTAAAATAATTAACAATGTAATATCTAATTAGATTTGAAATTATATACTCTTGCATTGTCATTGGAAATAAAAATTTCTGGAAAGATTGAGTTACTCGATTCAACAAGAACCCTACCAGACACGGGCGATTTAATTAAATTAAAAACAAATCAATACATATTAAATAATCGAGCCTTACCGCAAGGAATGAGGGGCTGAGCAAATTGACAGGACTTTTCTCAGGCCACGGTGTGACGTTGATGCATGCATGGTCATCTGGGGATGTAGACCAATGGTCAGTTAGGGTGTAAAAGGTGTTTAAATAGATATGAAGAAATGTATGTGTAATGGGGATGTTAGTTCTTGATTGGTGATGAATTTTATGAAATATATTCTAGAATAATAACTTGAAATTAAGAAAATTGAGAATTAAATCAATAGGATAGTGAACATTGGTCTGATGGCAAACATTCCGTCACATTATTTTAGAGCTATTTGTCATTACTGTCGCACCCTTCTATACTATGTCACGCACTGCAATACTTATATATTCCCTGATTTACTCGTTACGCGTATACAACACTTTGTTCTATTTATTTATTATTTTAAGAAAAAATTCATTCAGACTCTAATTCAGTAAATCAAGGGTTAACATCCCACTTAGACGTAAGTTACAGCTTTCAACATTCACGTGATAAATTCAGGTCTCACCCAATAACAAACATAAGCTTATTTCCTCAAACACACATTTCAAACATAAAACGATGACGATTTAATAAAAAAAAAACAACGACTTACAGGTACCATCTGTGTCCTTTTTCTCTGATGTTTTTTTACCAACATACACAGTCGGTATAGACTGTGGAAGATAAATACTATCATGTAAAAAATAACACAGAAAAAGTATTTTTCATTAAGCATTTTTAAAATATACTTGAAGTAAACACACAATTAAATTTCAAAGAAACGAAAAAGAAGAAATAATTCATTTTTTAGTGACTACCTTGAACTGGCTAAGAAAGAATTCCTTGTTGTGTCCCAGTATGTAGACCTTGAGATTCGCGATGGGTACTGACGTATCTGTTTTGGTGGTTTCATTCGGAAATAAACAAAACATACACTGCTATAACACGACATTAATACACATATAGGTGACGGACATTCATCCAAAGGCAGGTGTCTTAAAAAGACGACAAATCCCCAATGTTTTTTTTCTCCAAAAAGAACACACACACACACACACACACACACACACACACACACACATACATACATACATACATACATACATATATATATATATATATATATATATATATATATATATATATATATATATATATATATATATATATATATATATATATATATTAATATATATATATATATATATTATTCAACATATATATATCATAAACATCCTCATATACAACACAATAAGAATGAAATCGGTAAAATCGAGAGACAGAATAAAATGAAACAGAATAGGATTTACCTTCGACAGCCTCCGTCTTAACTGTTTTCCTTTTTCTAGACAGATAGAGGATACGTGGTTTAGAATATATTTTATAAGGAAATCTATACATTTTTTTCTTCTTCTACGCTCTTAATTCTAAGTCTATAAAGCGATTCCCACCAACACAATTCAATATTTCCTATCAACTTTTCATGTGCCATATAGGCCGTTGACTCTGGTATTTTCTATACTCTTTCTTTTATGGTTTTCTTCTTGGATTGGATTCAATAGCCTTTGTCCAACCAAGAACAAACTATAAGGCAGCAATTGTTTGATTTTAGAGGTGCCTCTCCCAGATGAGTAGCGGTCCCCAGCTATTAAGCCTCGTCTGTCCGGGTTTCAAACTCGAGACTTCTCGAATATTTTCTCTTATTTAGTCTGTTTACAATAGCAAATGTATTGAAATAGAACAAGTGATTAAATCAGTACCCTGCACAGCGCTACGAACCTGCGTATGAATATGCAGATGACCAGGATTGCAATAAGTAATGCGAGCAGCACAATCAGTAAATACAGTATATATGTATCAACCTTGTCTTCTGTAAATTATTTATATTCTGTCATGTATTACACTTGATGTATATACATTCTCGAACCATACAGGAATGTATATACAAATACATATGGAAACACAATAAAAATAAATTTATAAAAAATTAAGTAACAAATACACGAGTGAACATAACATACTCATATAAAAATACCATCGGGTCCAATATAGTGATGTTAGTTATGTAAGCAGAGTTTCTTTCAGGCATTTATTACTGGGGAGACTGAAGAAAGTCTACTGCCCACCCCCCACCCCACCCCACCCCCAAATCCAAATGAAATTGATATAGAAAATGTATGCTTTAACCCCGGAAAATTTAGTCCGCCCCACCCCCTTCCAAAAATATCAAGTGCGCCGCCCCCGGTGAAAAAAGTTCGATCGAAAGAAACACTACGTACAAGGTATTGTCTCTCCTCGTGTAAAATGAAGACCCGTTAAAACTATCACTAATTTAATTTATTGGAATATGTATAAATTAAGATTTAAATTTGTCATAAACTATGTTTAGAATACCAATCGAGTCCTTGTCCTGACTGTTCAATTTTTCTCTTGGCAAGCCTGTCTCGGCCACATCTTTAGGAACATTTGGGTCAGCTGGAAATTTGCTTTTTAAAACACAATCTCCGGTGATGACGTCACACAGGCGTTTGTTCTCAATGGCTGCGTACACACAATCAGGGTCACATTGTTGTTTGCAGTTGGGCCCGAACGTTGTGTCGCTACATGCTGTGGAAGTTAAAGGGTTAAATTGGTTCTAAAAGGGTTTAAGTGGTTCTAGTATTTCAAGGGTTAAAGTTGTTCTAATCAAAATCTTAAAAATATTTATTTTACCGAGGCGGTAGATTGTTATTTTTGTGTTTTATACAAGAAATTGGATTTTTTGTGGACCTATGTTATACATTTGTTTTAAGGAAATTACAACACACGTGTTTCATTAGCCTGCAAGAAAACTATAACAACCGAACATAAGCTACTCAAGGTTATACCTATATAATAATAAAATACCAACTACGTATATAGTATATTGGCAGCAGTTTATAAACATGTCCAGTAAATTCGTTGCAGGATTAATTAAATATTACATATCAAATGTTACATCAACACATTTTATGTATAATATGAAGATTTTCCCAAAATGTAATAAATCAAGTTAAACTTGATATAGAAATTGTTTTATTTATGCAGAGTAATTAAATGATATATTTGGAACAAAAATATACATGTTCGTGCCTTCGATATCGAATAACGTCTCCAAAATTCCTTAAGGTAAGGCCTTTGATGCCAGTTTATTGGGCACCCAAAAACATTCCATTCTATTTAAAGGCTCAACCGTCCTCGGGCAATCTCTTAGTCTACCCAATTGTGATGGGTACCTGACTCGCCTTGGGAAATTACACATAGTGCTGACCACATAACCACTTCAAAGGCCCTGTGCAAAGAAACGTCTAATGCTTGGAAAAAGCGGTAGAGCGCTCGGCTGCTACTCCGAAGGTTTTGAGTTCGAATCCGGGTTCAAGTCTGTACATCGTTACTAAGTCCGACCAGCTCTGATGGGTACCTAACTCATGTTAGGGAAAGACAAAAGAGGCTGGGCAAAGTGCTGAACACACCTTTCCTTCATATGCTGAGGTCAAGAAACATATGACCTCCAATTCATCTGCCTAAAAGATCGCTAGGTCTAAAGATGATTCTTATATATATATATATATATATATATATATATATATATATATATATATATATATATATATATATATATATATATATATATATATACATATGTTCGTTTTTCACCTTGTGTAAAGTAATGAAACACGTTTACCTCAGACCAATGAACATTATTGCCTGGCTTAATTTTCAGGATATTCCCAACAAACTGCACATAACGTCTGCATTTCCACCCACCTTCATCGCAGAAGTCGCCCAGACGCCCGACAGGACAGCTTAGACAGACGCCATCTGTCATGTTACACAGCTGGTCGACGCAGTTTTCGCTGCAAGTTTCCGTACAGTTTTTTCCGTAGTAGTGTTTATCACAATCTAAATATATAAATACTTTCTTGTTGGATATAAAATGTAAAAAATTACGTTGAATAACTATTTCGTAATCAGATAATGTGTCTTCATTTCCAATATTTTTGAAACATGTGTCTTGCTACTTGCATGACTGATCTGTGACTAATATTGTTTAAAATAGGTATAAACAGTTTATTGGACTATTTCAATGACACAGAGCAATTGAAATTTTCATGGAAGTGTAACAGATTTCCAATGTCAGTTGGAGCATTAATTTTTACATCATAATATTGTATATATATATATATATATATATATATATATATATATATATATATATATATATAATTTTGTTTTATATATATATATATATATATATCATTGTGTATTAATACATAGACCTATATCTAAAGATCGAGATCTAGTTAGTATTAAGCATTAAGTTTATATACATTAGAATAGATCTTCTAGATTTTGCATTTCTAAATTAATAAATAACATTTAAAACCGTAGCATGGCGTAGGTAGAGTGTGTAGAGTGTACTATAGAGTAAAACAGGCCTAACAAAAAATAATTTAACTTGAGTTAAAAAACATTTTCTTTTAAATCGGTAACCATTATTAGGAATAATGTTACATCTTAATAATCTATGAATAATAGTCATCAAACAAAAGCCAACTATAATAAAAAGGGATACAGCCTAGATTGAACTAAAAAAATTCCCCCGTTCATCATTTTGTTTAATTTGATCACCTTGGGTGTTCCATTGTTATGACATTCATCGTTTTACTCTCCAAGGCCACATAAGTTCAGTTCAATGTGATGTTGAGTGTGGTTTCATTAAATATTTGAATCGATACAATAATTCATTGTTTTTTTCAATGGCTTATGCTCAATACAAAAATATGAAAATGAGTGTAATCGATGATTCACAAACGACTTTAATTTTTAAACGTGTAGCTTTAATTCTATCGCTTGCCGCTTGCCACATTTTACAAAAATTAAATCTAGTATAATTGCATAGACTTTTCCTACGTATTAAATGTTGTATGGCATACGTAGTCTGTGAACATAAACACAATTAAATTAAGATTAAGTACACACCGACACCGACAGTTGTTGTCCAGTACTCGCTTTATTTACAGCATCGAGCCATGACGGCGATGCAACACATAAACGAGTACTTGACAACAACTGTCGGTGTCGGTGTGTACTTAATCTCAGGGTCAGCCCGTCTTAAACCACAACACCTCAGTGGGTAAAAGCATCCCCACTGAGTGACGGTTACATTTGGCGCCCAACGTGGGGCTTGACCTTGGGTGGTACGATGGAAAGTGGGAAACTAGGACAACAACTGTCGGTGTCGGTGTGTACTTAATCTCAGGGTCAGCCCGTCTTAACCACAACACCTCAGTGGGTAAAAGCATCCCCACTGAGTGAGGGTTACATTTGGCGCCCAACGTGGGGCTGCCTGACCATCACCTTGTCTTGTCCATCCCGGGCGACCACCTCTGGCACGAAGGGCATTGCCTCCGGCCGAAGTCTAGTTGGGACCACTACCTTGATTTTCAGTTCCTCACCTTCATCTGCCTCACTGGTTGGGATGATCTCTCTCCGTCGCTCCCCCTCCGCCACAGTGGGTTCAGCACTCGACATTGTATAGTCGGGTCGCTGCCAACCACGGCGGCGTCCACCACGTCGTCGGCCTCTCCTCCGGCGGCGTCTCCGACCTCTGCTTGTGTCATGTCTGTCTCCCAAGCGACGATCTTGCTCGCGCTGAGACTGACATTCATAGTGTGGCTGTCTACCCTCCTCACGCGCACCATCCGGCTGCAACCCTCCTCCACGGCGGAACACCCGACAGCCGTACCTCCAGCCGCTAGGCGAGGTAACCTGAGCTGTGGTTGCTCGACACTGTGATGATCTCGGTGGCGTAAACTTGGGCTGGGAGCTTGGCAGAACACGCATCAGCATCCGCTCCCCGACGCTGATAGACTGGCATTTCCCCTGCTGCTGACTCCGTTGCCTAGCTGCTTTTCACGGACAGTCGCGGACGAAGCGCTTCGTGGACCCGCACCGGTAACAAGCTCCTCTGGAGGGCTGTTGTTTCCGGGCTAGGATATCTGCTACCTTCTCCGCCAGACGGTCGAGTTGTTCCTCTGTGAGCATCAGCGGCGTCGTCTCCTGGCGACCAGCTACCGTTACTGCGTCGACCTTCTCCGCCAGACGGTCGAGTTGCTCCTCCGTGAGCATCAGCGGCGGCGTCGTCTCTTGGCGAACAGCTGCCGTTACTGCGTCGAACTGGATAGTCCTGTTAGCTGCTGCCGTGGCTACGACTGGGGACTCAGTTGTCCCGTCCAGCCTTTTAACAGCTTTCAGGACGTCCTCCACCTTCGGACTGGCTTCCCCTGCGAAACCAAATGTGCCGCGAAGTTCGAGCGCTAGAAGGGGTGAAACCCCCTTGCAGAAAGTGTGATACACTTTCTTCTGGGCATCGGCCTCAGTAAAGATACGCTGCTGGTTTAGCTTCGTCATCTCTGACCACAGTCGGCAGAGAAAATCCGACGCTGACTCTCTTGGATGTGGAGTGAGTCGGCTGAACTGCAGATACCTGTCTTCGGCACATCGGGTGTCGCCAAAAGTGCTTTGTAGGAGGCATAGCACTTCCTCTGGACTCGCAGCTTGCTTCACCCGCTCATAGGCAATCCCTCTCAGGCTGCCTAAGACGCGTGGCAACGGGTTCGGAACGCTGGTGTTCCACAGCAAACACTGCACTTGGGTTTCCCATTCCGGGAAATTCACCTCTCCTCCTCCAGTGGGTGGAAGGCCGGTGAATACGCTCAGCTTGCTGTGTGCTGGAGCACACACCTCCACCGTCACGGGCCGCTGCGCACTTGTCTGCATCGCCGCCATCTTAGCTGTCAACTCGGCCAGCTCCTGTGACAACTTCTGCATCGGATCATTGCTTTCCATCGTACCTCCCAAGGTCAAGCCCAACGTTGGGCGCCAAATGTAACCCTCACTCAGTGGGGATGCTTTTACCCACTGAGGTGTTGTGGTTAAGACGGGCTGACCCTGAGATTAAGTACATCATTTCAAATATATAGTTAACATCTATCACTAGATCAAACACACTAAGCATCTTAGACAAAACCTATACATTCAAACGGCTAAATCAGCGCAAAAAGATAGACGCGAGAGTTTCAGATCGATCAAAACGATTAACTTTTAAAATTAGTTGAAAAAGAAAAGATATAAAATTTAAAAACTCTATAGTAAAATTACTATAAAGACTCCGCGCGTATGTTAAAAAAAACAGTTTCTGTGACTCTCTATAGTAATACAGTATTTGGCTTTTTATCTTTCCTGTTTTTCGGAGATAGATTACTACATCGAAATGCCGTAAATCTTTGTTGACCAAACCAATTTCTGTAATTTTATGTATTTGATATTATTTATATACCGGATGTAGCTTAAGGCAACCTATACGCTATAATGTAATTGTATGTAGCTTGAGAGTGCCTACTTATCAAATACTTTACTTGTAGAAAATACACAAAAATTATATATATATATATATATATATATATATATATATATATATATATATATATATATATATATATATATATATATATATATATATATATATATATATATATATATATATATATATATATATATATATATATATATATATATACATACTATATATATATATATATATATATATATATATATATATATATATATATATATATATATATATATATATATATATATATATATATATATATATATATATATATATATATATATATATATATATGTATACATACATATATATATATATATATATATATATATATATATATATATATATATATATATATATATATTATATATATATATATATATATATATATATATATATATACATATATATATATATATATATATATATATATATATATATATATATATATATATATATATATATATATATATATATATACTTGTTCGTTTTTCACCTTGTTTAAAGTAGTGAAACACGTTTACCTCAGACCAATGAACATTATTGCCTGGCTTAATTTTCAGGATATTCCCAACAAACTGCACATAACGTCTGCATTTCCACCCACCTTCATCGCAGAAGTCGCCCAGACGCCCGACAGGACAGCTTAGACAGACGCCATCTGTCATGTTACACAGCTGGTCGACGCAGTTTTCGCTGCAAGTTTCCGTACAGTTTTTTCCGTAGTAGTGTTTATCACAATCTAAATATATAAATACTTTCTTGTTGGATATAAAACGTAAAAAATTACGTTGAATAACTATTTCGTAATCAGATAATTGTGTCTACATTTCCAATATTTTTAAAACATGTGTCTTGCTACTTGCATGACTAATCTGTGACTAATATTGTTTAAAATAGGTATAAACAGTTTATTGGACTATTTCAATGACACAGAGCAATTGAAATTTTCATAGAAGTGTAACAGATTTCCAATGTCAGTCGGAGCATTAATTTTTACATTATAATATTGTATATATATATATATATATATATATATATATATATATATATATATATATAATTTTGTTTATATATATATATATATATATATACTATATATATATATATATATATATATATATATATATATATATATATATATCATTGTGTATTAATACATAGACCTATATCTAAATATCGAGATCTAGTTAGTCTTAAGCATTAAGTTTATATACATTAGAATAGATCTTCTAGATTTTGCATTTCTAAATTAATAAATAACAATTAAAACCGTAGCATGGCGTAGGTAGAGTGTGTAGAGTGTACTATAGAGTAAAACAGGCCTAACAAAAAATAATTTAACTTGAGTTAAAAAACATTTTCTTTTAAATCGGTAACCATTATTAGGAATAATGTTACATCTTAATAATCTATGAATAATAGTCATCAAACAAAAGCCAACTATAATAAAAAGGGATACAGCCTAGATTGAACTAAAAAAATTCCCCCGTTCATCATTTTGTTTAATTTGATCACCTTGGGTGTTCCATTGTTAAGACATTCATCGTTTTACTCTCCATGGCAACATAAGTTCAGTTCAATGTGATGTTGAGTGCGGTTTTATTAAATATTAAATCGATACAATAATTCATTGTTATTTTCAATGGCTTATGCTCAATACAAAAATATGAAAATGAGTGTAATCGATGATTCATAAACGACTTTAATTTTTAAACGTGTAGCTTTAATTCTATCGCTTGCCGCTTGCCACATTTATAAAAAACTAGAATACCCGTCATCCGTTGGATAACTGTGGGTTTCGGGGGTCATCAAAAAACATCACGTCTGTCACTCAGAGGCATAGCGAGCCTTCCCGGCGCCCGGGGACAAACTTTTCGATTTTAACCCCCCCCCCCCCCAAGATTTCGATTTTCAACCCCCCCCCCTCAAACTTTTGATATGCACCCCCCCCGCCGCCCACTCAAACTTTCGATTTGAACCCCCCTCAACCTTTCAATTTATTTTTCCAAACCATTTTGGCGCCCCAACATATGTCTTCCCGCCCCCCTCCACCTCCCCCCGCGAGCCTTCCCGGCGCCCGGGGACAAACTTTTCGATTTTAACCCCCCCCCCCATGATTTCGATTTTCAACCCTCCCCCTCAAACTTTTGATGTGCACCCCCCCCCCCCCCGCCCACTCAAACTTTCGATTTGAACCCCCCTCAACCTTTCGATTTATTTTTCCAAACCATTTTGGCGCCCCAACATATGTCCCCCCGCCCCCCCTCCACCTCCCCCCCCCCCCCCGCCTCCCCTCCCGCCCCCCCCCCCTCCTCCTCGCTACGCTACTGCAGTGTCACTTATCGTTACAAAAAACAGACCCCACATTCAAAAATATGTTTTTTATCTTTTAAAAACACCGAAAACACCGATTTCGGACTATCCCTTCATATACTGACGTCACATGTGACCTACTCAACTCTACTTCACCTGCCCAGTGTCCCGCCAAGTCTCAGACAACATCTTTTTATCGTTTAAAAAACGATTCCAGCCGAGCATGTCTCTGACCACACTATCCTTTCATATGCTTAGGACATAGAAACAGATGAACTCTACTTCACCTGCCCTGTATCCTGCCAAGTTCAGATAGGCAACTTTATCATATACATCTAAAAAAAAAAAAATTGAAAAAAAATATCATTGACATATTGGTCTAGAACCTGTGCCACCCGCATGAGAGCGGACTACGCTACCAGCTTAGCTATTTACTCGTGACGTCACAAATGAATTTTTATACTATACTTTTGAGTCTCCGCGCATAGATCTAGATCTAACTCTAGTAGTAGAATCTAGATCTAGTAACTTTCAAATTAAATTTAATCTTAAATTAGCCAAACAAAGATTTATATAAAATAATTAAGGCCTGAAATAGATTCTAGATGTATTAAGGCCTGAAATAGATTCTAGATGTAGAATTTACATTAAGTCTAGATCTAGAATTTACATTGAGTCTAGTGACCTAGATCTAGGCTAGATCTAGATCTAGGCTAGATTCATAACTTTCCTTCGACAGCTGATCTTTAGATCTAGAGAAATTTATTGTAAAACTAAATGAAAAAAGACAGTTTAAAATTGATAT